GGAGCACGGTGATAGGTGGAGCGCTAACGAATTCTATTGATTCGGCTAGACTGTGGTATTTGAGGAGGCCGGGACATTCGAGTGTTGATTCCGTGTATGGATTGGAGAGGGGTGCTTTGACCTACAATTTAAAGTCCTGTGAACATATTGATGTGAGAAAGAAGACCGAGGTGAAGTTTGGAACTTCTATTCACCGAGCGAAAGGCCTTTTAGATAATGTTCACGTAGGCATTTGGGGGCCTTTCAATGAGGCATCATTGGGAGGTAATAGGTATTTGGTTTTTTGTGTTGAAGACTGTTCTAGGCATTTGTAGGTTACAGTTAAGTCCCGTTCGAGTGAAGTCCTAGTAGATAACAAGTGGAAGAAGTGTATAGGCAGAAAGGTAAATTTACCCAGTTCTGGTTTTGATAGGAAGTACAAGAGGGATCCTTTTATGCATTTGTGCTGAGCTCAAGGCAGTTTGAGACACTTCATTAGAAAGAAAATATTGGGGAAACGAGATGAGATGAAAAATTTGATGGGTTGTTTCTTGCTGGAGAAGGATCAATGCTTGATGTCAATCAGTGGTTTGCAGAGGGGTTTTGGTGATGTGGCTTTGACATATTTGAGTCATCTTATTCATAGGTTGTCGTCTGCTGCGATTGGAGTATTTGGATCTGGTGGAGCTGCTTCAGATTTTGGGTTGCTTAGGATATTTGGATGCCCAACATATTATCACATCGAGGATATGAACTTTGATCCGAGTGTACATTTGGGATTTAGAGGCGTGTTTGGTTACCAATTATGGGATTCTAATATTATTCTGAGCAGTATTATCACATTCGACTCTTAGCAGATGGAGAGTGTTGGACAGATCATTGGAATATCGTAGCATGTGGAGAGTGATGCTACTCCATGTTGTATGGAGATTACTCCACGTACTCCAGATCATTTTGTATCGTTTGGGATTCCAGCTGAGGTGACACAGATTAGGGATCATGTCGGTGTTGATATAGATGATGAGTTTATTGATTCGAGTGCAGCAGGCGGACATAGTTCAGATTGAGCTATGGTCATTGGTTCACCTCAGCTGAAGGTGTTTGGTAATTATGTTTCTTCTACATATAGAGTTAAGGAGTTGTGCTCCAAGACAGATTTCGTGTGGAGAGATGCAAGTTTGGAAGAGAGTTTATCTTTTCACTTTGAGACCATTGGGAGAGTTATCACCTGCAAATTTATTGGTGATGATCGTGAAGGTTTAAAAATCCTTCTAGTCGATTAAGGTCGTTTGCGGCCATTTGGATGAACTACCTGTTGTTTGATTCCTTGGGCAAAAGGATACGTAGGCAGTTATTTTTAATGCAGTCGGTTTGGTGAGTTGATACCGACATTTGGAGTTTGTTCGTATTCTCATTTGGTTCCCGACTTATTGTGTATTGAGTCCGTTGTCGTGAATTTTTTCACTTCGTGCTGGACGTCATAAGCAGGACGTTTGGTTGGTATTGGTGTCGGCTCAGTTTTGGGAAAACTTTGCCGAGGTGGAGAATTATAGAAACGGTAAAAACGGCGTCGAAGAACATGAAAAATGAAGCATGCAGAAATTTGGATGTAGTCCGGTCGACCGCGGGCTTAGGTCGGTCGACCGGAAACGTGCACAATATAGAGTGTCTTTTGGCTTTCTGTCCGGACGACCGCGAGGTTAGGTCGGTCGACCGCTAGGCTAGTCTGGTCGACCGAAACCCTGTAATTGATTAAGCTGAGATTTCAGCCTTCTGGTCGGTTGGTCGGACCACATGTGCGGTCGACCGCGACGACGGGTTTTTGGGCGTGATTGCGGTTTCATGTTCTGACTGGGATTTGTGTTTGCTATATAATACTAACACGGTTTTAGGGTTTTTGAGAGTTGAAAAGGGTTTATTTTGTACGTAGAAAAGAGAGTTTTCTGAGCAATTTGGTTAGGGGTTTGTTTGAGAGATTGAGAGGTTTGTTTGGGAGATTTTGAGTGAATTTGTAATCTCTATTTGTACTCTCCTTCTCTATTAATGAAAACACATCCCCTTCTTGCCCCGTGGACGTAGGAAACTTGTCGAACCACGTAAAATTCGTTTGTTTGTGTTCGTACCGTTATTTTGTTTGTGTTTGACATTCTCTCTCAGCGTTTGTGTTTGCTCTCGGAACCCGAACAATTGCTAGCTTTCCCTTATTTTTAAAAATTTTCCCTTTTTAATCTTTAAACCCAAGAATATGAGAGGTGAGGAGTTTTGATTGCTAGCTTTCCCTTATTTTTGAAAATTTCCCTTTTTTATCTTTAAACCCAAAAATTCACCTCCGTTTAGTTTAAGCCCGCAACATCCTAAGTTGAGATTTTTGCCTAAAAACACAAATAAACTCACCTACTTACGAAGTAGTACCGGGGAGTTTATGCCTCAAAACCCACAGTTTTACCCCCGATTTATTTTTGAACCCACACATATTTCAATGAGTCTTTTGCCTATAGACCGAAAGCTTTATTATTATTTATTTTTCATTTTTCAAGGGGGTTCTGCATGTGAACCCAAAGCTTTACCCACATTTATTTTTAATGGCGTCCACTTTCAAAATCACCCGTGGACTAAAAAACACTCCACGAAAGTGAGTTTAAAGCTTACTTTATATTTTAATAGTTTCGTATATGATATAAGTTGTTACACTGTTGTAACTTTCAATATGTTTGTTCTAAGTGATTACAATTCTGGTTTATTTTTGAACAAAATGTATAGTCTTATTTTGTTGGCTTCTTTCACATTAATGTTCCATCATCACAAACTGTAGATTTTTTTGCCTATAAACTCAGAGTTTCACCCCTTTTTTAAATCTACCTGCTTTCAAAAGAGTTGTTCATCTATAAACAGAGTTTTACTACCATTTGTTTTTTAATTCATCTACTTTTAAAATCACTTTTAGATCTGAAATTATTTAATCAATTTATTTTTAACTCACTTTGTCTTCGAGCAGCTTAGTATTTGATGAAAGTTGCTATATTTTTGTGAAAGGTGCTATAACTTTTCCCAAGTGGTTAGGTGTACACTATATCTTTAAATCAAATATTCAAATCATTATTTATCATGACTATTTTCAAATTAATGTTGTGGCACCGTGCATGCCAATTTTGTTCATATATTCTGTCGGGAATCGAACTGCATTTTTTTGTTTTCATCCTAACTGACGAAAGTGCGACCCATTATGAGCCTATGATCTTGTTGGCCCAGCCCACCAATTGCATGGTCCAACTTACTCATGAAATATTTACTAGGACAAATTTTTAAAACCGTCTTATTTGCAAAAATAATCCCAAAAAACGACCTAGTTTCAAAATAATCTTCAAAACCGACTTAGTTTCAGCCGTCTGGCTGAAACTGGGTCGGTTTTGGCTAAAACTGAGTCGGTTTTGAAGAAAAAACTTACGAAACTTCACGGGACTTGAAGTCTCGTGAAGTTTAGCAGGTATTTAACTAAGCTGCTAAACTTCACGGGACTTTAAGTCTCGTGAAGTTTAGCAGGTATTTAAGTCCCATGAAGTTTCGTAGTTCAAACAAACTTCACGGGACTTCAAGTCCCGTGAAGTTTGTTTGAATTTATTTTCCTCCTTGCAGAAAGCGGTCGAGATGCGCGCGGAGGTGGGTTACGTGTAGGGGTGGTAAATGATCGAATCGAATCGAATACTAAGGTGTTCATGTTTGTATTTGTTTAAAATTATCGAATTCGAATGCGGACTCTAATATTCATATATCTAGTTTTTCGAATTCGAACTTGAATACTTGGTATTTGATAAATATTCATGAATATTCACGAATACTTAATATCAAAGTATATTTATTTTGCTAAAGAGTTTGATTTTCAAATAGTATTAAAATTCATAAATAAAAATTATTCCTTTATAATATATGATGTATATATATTTAAATTAAAATTTTAATTAGAAAACAAATTTAAGATTATTTAAGTCTTAAAATCAATATATAAAACTTAAGTAGAAATGGTAAGTGTGTTAAAAATATGTCATCATATGTGCAATAATACAAATAATAAGCTGTGATCAAAATTTAAACGAATATTTAATAGACAAACGAATCGAATATACATCTGGTTAAATTCTATTCGTTAATAAACTCGAATACTAAAAAATATTTTTTTAGTGATAAATGAACTATTGAATCAAATATGACCGAATAGTTATTCGAACAATTATCGAACTATTTATTAATTATTTGGTTCATTTCCACCCCTAGTTACGTGGAGTTCCTCACACGTGTGAAGAGGGCTGAGACCGAGGCACGTGCTAGTGTACCCTCTAGTTAACAGCAGTAGAATATTTTGAAGGATGGGATTTGGTGGGCTCATGTTAGTGTACCCTCTAGTTAGCAGCAAGTAAGTATATATATGTTTTTGTATAAATTTGTTGAGAAGTCGAGGGGCTAGATGCATAATTTTAGAAGTAGAATCTTGGGTTTTTGGTCACTTTAATAAACTTCACGGGACTTCAACTCCCGTAAAGTTTATTAAACTGTGAAACTTCACGGGACTTGAAGTCCCGTGAAATTTAGCAGCTTAATTAAATGGCTGCTAAACTTCACGGGACTTCAAAAAGCCCCGTGAAGTTTTGGGAACTTTTTTCGCTAAAACCGACCTGGTTTCAGTCCTAGGCTGAAACCAAGTCGGTTTTGACAAATAAAGTTGAAACATATTGTTTTTGGGGAATATGTTTGCAAATAGGACGATTTTAAAATTTTGTCATATTTACTATGATACTTTTTTGTATTGATAGAAGTTAAAGTGATTAGTTAACTAACTATATGTTTTATATTATGTTTGCGCTTTTAAAAACCCAAAACATGTTACCTTACTCGTCTAAACCTACGTCGGATTCTTGGACAATTGTACTAGCTGTACTAAATAATCTCAATCAAAATAATTCTGAGGCCTAAATAACTGACGAAGAGCAAGCTGCCATACAAACTGGACATCCAAACCAAATGCAAAGTGAAAAAAGGTCATGCGGTAGCAACCGTTCCTCCAAATTTCACGAGGCCCAGAAAAAAAAAAGCAATTTCATGAGGCCCCCAAATTAGAGAAACCTTTTGCAACCCGCAAACAAAAAGCCACATGAAGAAAACTAGAGAAAATGGTCGCCGCAATTTACGCTTCTTTAATCACAATGTCTCCTCGACAAACGAGAAAGAGCCGAGCTGAAGGCAGACGCTATCATCGCTAGCACGCTAACCCCCCGTGACTTCCGCCCCCTCCAATTTTTCAAATTTCTCATCATTTCAGCCCCCCAACATTTCAAAAATTACAAGCAGTAAAAACTTCAGATTAAACCCACTTTAATAACATTCCTTACATTAAACCGCTTAACTATCAGAAGCCAATGACACCACTAAAATCTATAACTAAACTGAAGAGGATTTGCGAACAGAGTATCTGTAAGCGGCAGCCTTCCTTCTCCTCGAGCTTGTATTATCTATACAAATCACCATTTTTCCAGCTTCTTTTGCGGTGAACACATTATGAACTGGCCCTTCAAAACTTGAAGGAATTTTTCTAGTTTTCTCCACTGAGACTATGTAGCTCCCCTCAGCACCTGGCACGTACTCAGCACTGTAGTCTAAGTCCCAGCCACCAACTACGATGTCCCACGTAATTGTGGCTCCACTCTGAAATTAGAAATTAAACAGAGTAATTAGGGGAAGAATGACCGAGTTGAAGAGTTAGATGAATGCTAACTAATTACCTCGATGCCATCAATCTCGAGGTTCACTTTCTCTTCTCCTTTGATTGTGAACTCTGAAGCAGGCTTTGGAGGGCCACCATTCTCTAAATCCCCTGCTCTGCTCAATCCACCGTACTGAACTGGAACGAACTCTGGCCTAATGAACCTGTAAAATTTTAAATTAATCAAGTTAATCATAAAATTAGTTAACAAAATTTTGAGATAACGAGCTGATTAATTACTTGTAGAGGGTCTCAGCAACGTTCCCTTCTTTGGCAATAAGAAACTTGCTCTTAGTCCTCTCAGTCAAAAAAGGACTAACCACAGAGTACAGCACACTGAAGTACCAAGGAACATTGACGAACACCTAAATTTTCAAAAACTAGTCAACAAATATCAAGACCCAGATGTCAAATCCACCAAAAAACCATGAAAATCACAGAAAGATCAAACCTTTCGAGCAACCATCTCGGGATAATTATCCTGAAACAGAAACAGAACTTGCTTCAACGCAGCTCTGAGCTCCCCTTTAGGCATATCCTTAAGATCAGTGACTTGAACGATGGAGTTCACTCCTCCAGGCTTAAACTGAAGCAATCTAACTCCCCTCTCCATCACTTGAACCCTCCACCTCAAAAATCTCTTCAATTTCTCTCCATCTCCAAAAAATTTATCAAACATATTTTTTTCCTTAAAAACCCCATAAGAATTGTAGCAAACAGGGTGCCCTTCTTTATCCCAACCGTGCATATAAGCAACAACCCCCTCTAGCTCCTTAAACCCAAGCTCCTCCTCCAAAACCCCGTCGGCATTGAACTCCTCCCTCCACTTGGCGCATTTTAGCAGCATGGCATGCGCGTGCGCCGGGTTGAAGTCGCGTGCGCGCAGGAACTTGAGGAGGAGGACGTCTGCACGCTCGTCGGTTTCATCTAAAAGGTCGACGCCCCATAGAGAAACGGGGGTGTGAGAGGAATTGAGGAGGGTTTTGAGGGCTTTGAGTGAATTTTGCTCATTGGTTTTGAGGGTTGAGAGAAGGTAGGAGTCTTCTTTGAAAGAGGAGGGGGCTGCTTGCATCAGAGAGCTCATGAGGCTGCGCTTTGTTGGGGTGGGTTTAGGAGAAGGATCCATTGAGGAGGAGGAGGAGGAGAGATGGGGCCGAGTTTAAATTGAAGAGGATGGAGGGTGGTGGGGGTAATTATGACGGAAGTGGTGAGAAGTGTGGGGATTTTATTTCGGGAGCGGTTTGAGGACGTGAACACGAGGGGTCCGTGCATATACACAGGGTGTAGGTTTGGGTGGTTATGGAGCTCCGTTATCCGATAACCCGTTAAAGATTTAAAGCGGAAGGATTTTGGGTTCGGATTTCTCAAAAAAGTCTCGGATGGGTGTCAGTATTCATATTTGGGTTTGGTAAAGGTTTGGTCAAGGAGAAGGCTTGTGTTGATTGATTGATTATTTGAATACCGTAGTACTTGAAATGGATCGGATTAGGCGATGGGCATGTGCGGTTCAGTGCAACGCTTTAGTAATTGGTAACTATTTGAGCTTAAATTACCGACTCACCGAATTATCATGGCCAATTTTCACCTGAATGCACTGTAGTTTTATTCACTTCGCATTTATACATACTTTCTTATTTTTCATCGTGTTTATATATCCTGACTTGTCTAAAACTAGCAACTTAGTAATCCTCTGTTCCCTATTTTGCAGGAGTGAAAAATTTCATTCGAATGTTATTCATACGACACTCGGAATTAGTTAATACGCACGGGTCATATAAGAAAATTTGGACGGAAATTTTCACGATTGCATATTGGAGGGTACTAAGAGCATCTCCAACAGCTTCCCCATCTTCTTGGTATTCTAAAATTTAGAGAATTTTGAGTTTTTTTTTGGTCCAACAGATTCCCCATCTCATTCCCCAAAATGGGGATAGGAGAGAAAAAATAGAGAGCCTTCCCCAAATCTGCAGCATTCTGCAAATATTTGGGGAAGCACTTTTTCACGTTCTTCTAGACTCAACCCACAAAAAACAATTACATCTCCTCATTATAATAATAAATAATTTGGTCAAAATGGGGATTCTTCAAAATAATAAATAATTTATTATTTATTAGTCAAAGATGTAGAATATTTTTATTATTGTAATAAATGCATGATTCTTCAAAATGGGGAAGCTGTTGGAGTTGGAGCAAAAATAATTTGGAGAATATGACATTTGATTTCCCATTTTGGAGAAATTTTTAGGGAAGCTGTTGGAGATGCTCTAATATGTCAATTTTAAACAACTTAAAATATGTAAGGCTGCATAAGCGCAAACAACTATGACGTATTTTAAGTGCTATTCTATTATCATTGAAACTATTAAAACAAACTACTCCTAGGAAAAAATAAAATCTAATTGACGCAGATTTATCATTTTTATGGCAGGCGTGAAGTAGGTAAATAAGCGGCTTGTTGCAGTAGACTACGGCAGGTTGCGAGGAATTATTCTCTTTCTATGCGCAAAATTTGAGAAGGAATAAACGTCAAATAATGTCATCATTGGACCACCCCGCCCCCACAAATGAATGTTTTCTGAGCCTTAACCTGTTGCGCTTTGGATTCTACGTTGTTCCCTCGCTTTTGGTTTCGGCATCATTCAAATTTTGAACAGAGCAGGGCCCCGAAGTCGCCGAACGAGCAAAAGGCTATTTACAGAAAGAGAGCTGTTAATTTATTACAAGTAAATTTGTGGGTTCTCATCTTTGTCGAGTTCCTTTTTGAGGTCTAGAATTCGAGCGCTCCTTTATCGAAGTTCAAATATGAGCCGAGTGAACTTTTGGATGGAGACGAGAAATTCTCCAGCCTCTGTGATCACGTGATAGAAGAGTTCAGCTAGGGACTTTATGTTTTGAAATAGTTATCTATGGGCTAAAATACCAAATTGGTATGTTTATACGATCGTTTTTGTCAGTTTCGTATTTTTAAAAACTCCGGCGATGACAATGCATTAATTCTTGTCATTTTTGTCAATAAGACCCTTTTTTCAAAACTCTGACGAGAAATTTTATTTTAAAGCCCTTATCTCCCAAAATTATTACAAGTTAAACCCACAATTATCAAAAAAATTCATCCCCTCCCACTCCCCAAAATTCATCCCCTCACTCTCCCCCTCCTCTTCCTCATCGTCCTCGTCAACATCCTCCTGCCGGTTCTTGCCGATGGTCGGATCGGATGAGGTCTTCGCAGGATTTTCACCCGGATTATATTGTGGTCGCGGGGAGTTCGAGGAATGGGACAGCGTATCATGTTGTTCTTCGTGATGGGTCGACGTTGACGGTGAAGAGGCTTTATGGTTGTCTATTGTTGGAGAAGCAGTTTAGGGCTGAGATGGGGAGGATGGGGCAGATTAGGCATCCGAATTTGGTTACTTTGCTCGGGTATTGTGTTGTTGAAGAAGAGAAGATTTTGATTTACAAGCATATAACGAATGGAGCTCTTTCGTCGATGATAAGGAATGGGTGTCAGGGTTTGGACTGGCCGACGAGGTTGAGGATTGGGGTTGGAGGTTCGTGAGGGCTGGCTTGGCTTCTCCATGGGTTTCAAGTTCCTTTCTTGCATCAAAATGTTAGCTCGAGTTGTGCTTCTTGATGAAGAGTGTGCCCAGAGTCACTAATTTTGGTCTGACCAGCTAATGAGGCCTTAGACCTCCGACGAGGGTTTGAACATGACTCCATTCTTGAATTGGGATTTTGGGGAGTTTGGGTACATTGCACCAGAGTATGCAACCAATCCGGTGCCAAGCACAAAAGGGGATGTTTATGGATTTGGGGTTGTTTTACTTGAGCTTGCAACTGGACAGAAGGCTCCGAGGTAAGTCGTGATGGGTCGGCGTATCAACTCGTTGTTGCTGGTAAAATTCGTGAAGCTATTGATAAACCGTTGAGAGGAAACGGGCATAATGATCAAATTGTAGAGTTCTTGAAGGTTGCTTGTGAATGTGAGGGGAGGAGAGGGGAATGAGAGAGGAGGAGGAGGAGGAGGAGGTTGATGACGACGATGAGGAAGAGGAGGGGGAGAGGGAGGGGATGAATTTGTTGGTGTTTTCGTCGAAAGTTGTTTCCATTGTTGATTCCATTAAAACTTAAATCGTTTACAGAGAATTACAATGAAAAATAAGCAAATTGCAACTCTCTTGGAAAATAACACAGAAATTGTTTATCGACTCCTGTTTTGTGGGACTTTGCCTGTGTCGGGAGTGCTTTGACTCGTGGACCACCAAATCACAGATTGTGAAAGGGTTTGGAGATTCTTCCTTCGTTTATCGAAGTAAGAATTTAAAGCGAATATCTTATCGATGTAAGATGTTTACTCTTCCAAAGATCAAGTCTTAGCTTAGATCTCTAGGAATCACCAAACGTTGTTTATGAAAGATGAAAACTCTCTCTCTCTTCCTCAAAATTATCAAAAGCCCAAGTCTCTATGCTCCAATCTGCTCTCCCTCCTTTGTTTCGTGTCTAGGGATGTATTTATAGGGATAGGAGTGCACAACAGCGAAAATGGGGGCGAAATAACTGATCAATTGGATGCTCTTTGGGCGCGTCAGTCCACACTGCCACGGCTATTGGCGCGCCAGTGTGGACTGGCGCGGCCAAAGAGGCCGTTACAACCACGTTCTCATCGTGCTTGAAACTGTCCTCCCACGACTTTTAACCACTTTTTTCGTGGTTTAACCGCTTGTCCACGTCAGCACACGTTCTTTTTCTGATATGCCGCCACGTGGACCTTGAAAATTATCGTATAACTGCTTTTTTAACCGCCGTGGTAGCTCCCTATAGTTTGCACGTCACCATGGACTGACGCACAATAGGCGTGCCACCATAGGCTGCCGCGCCTTAGGCGCGTCACCATGGACTGCCGCACCTAAGGCGCGTCACTATGGGCTGCTTGTTGGTGTATTTTTTCGTTGGTGTGTACGTTGTTCTTCTATGTTGTTTCGCTTCCTTTGAATGATCCCCTCTGACTAAGAAAATGGCGTTTATCGTCTTCTCTTTGCCTTGAACAGTATTTGGATGTCCGTAAGTATTTTTTGACACCTACAGATACCCCCTCCAAAGTATCTCAGACTCGTTCCTTTAGAGAGGAGTCTGGGACACTTTGGATAGGATAAATTTTACTTGTAATCTTTTCAATACTTCGTTGAGGAGATTACGTTGAAGAATCTATGAATAGCTTCAATTCCTGACTTCTTCATCTTTTAGTCTACTCAGTGCTTTGTAGAATAGCTAAAATTCTTCCGGTGCTGCGTTTATCGCCTGACCGTTATTGAAGTCTTAAATTAGAGCTGGCGAAGGAATAGTTTATACTCATATACTTTATTGGAGTGTCCGGAAAATAGTTTAACCTCATATACCCGTTGGGAGGTTCAAGGAGATGCAGTTTATACTCATACACTCATCGGAGTGTTCAAGTATGCATTCCAAATACAATGGAAGACGTATGTGTTCAAATACCCAAGGGATCATTATGTATGCACGGCGCTTTTGCGCGTCAGAGTTGACTGTGGTGCGCTAGCGCGCCAGCATCGACTGCAGTGCTCGAGCGCGCCAGCGTAGACTATCGCGCTCGAGCGCGCACAGTTTTGGCCAGTTAGGTTTATAAGGCTGATGTTGGGCCTTTTCGGGTCATTTTTACCCGCTGTTTTGAGTTTGAAATCTTCTCAAATACCCTATAAAAAGATCCTCTGGCTTTTCCCTTCTTCACTTCTTCACATTTGGGCGATTTTTGTTTGAACAAGATCTAGGGTTTTGGGTTCTTCTTGGTTCTGAGCCTTTCCTTCGATCAAAACTTGGTTTTGTTCAACCTCTGGTAAAGCCGCACCCATATGTTGTGTTTTAGGGTTCTATTTTGGTTTTTTTGCTTGAGATCTCACCTAAAAACCCTAACTTTCCTTGTTCTTAGGCTGTTTCCACATGTCTCCCAAAAGAGCTCGTGTTCCCAAGGGTAAATCTGCAGCCCAAGCGTCAGAAGAGATCGAGGCCACTGCTACGTCGTTCGGGGGTAACCCTTTTCAACTCTTTCTCTGTTTAAAATTAATGTTTTTACTCGTACAACCTCGTTTGTCTCCTTTGAGAGGCATTCGGGAAGAGTTGACATCCTCCTTCGAGGGGATCGACGCTATAAAACACATATCTTGTTTAATCAAGACATGTACCACAGCCGAGATGCGAGTTTTCATCGAACTCGTGGCTTTCGAAGCTAACCTGCCACGGCCGAACGCGGTAGCATACACTGTCGCGGTAACGCGCGACGGCATACACTGCCGCGGCTACTTAGAGCAGTGGGTTTTGCTCTTTTAGCCTCTTTTATTCAATTGTTTTCCAACTTTGTCTGCAGTCCACTTTCCTTCTGTGGCCTTTTCTGATAGAGAAGACCCAGGCCAAAGTGGTATTCTTCATGCTTCTTTCAACGATGATTTTTTGGTCAGAGATGCCCGTCAGTCCAATGAGGGTCGTGACGATAATTTTCCCGAACTGGTTCGTGAAGGAAATCGTCGTACTTTGCGTCAACTGTTGACCGACTCGCCTTTAACCTCAATTCGAGATTCCACCGAGCCGTTAAAGAAGCCTGATTATTTGTTCAGAGATTCGATTAAAGATCCGGATAATCTTTGCTATGGTCCTGAAGCTTGGTTGAATGAGCACGAAGGGGATTTTCTGTTCCTTCCTCCATTCCCTCGACAGTATTCGATTCTGCAATTAAGGAATTTAACCGTTTCGAGGAAGATGTCGTGGCACTTGACAGATGACCATGAACGCCTCCATTACGGGTTCATTGGTAAAGATATTAGTGCTCCTGGCTCCAGTGGTCGGCATACTATTTGTGGTCTTCATCCCGGGGTACTTGGACCAGATAGTGGACCTCAGAATGAACTGATGATTGTAGGTGTAAATTTTGATCTCCCGAAAACAGGGAGCTTCGTTTGTATTGATAAGAAGGCTTATTACAAACTAATAATCAAATGTTTACAACAGAAGCGGAGGGAATGCCCTCCTTGTTTAACGTGGGTTCCTCGGTGGCGATAGGACGCCTCGCTCGGTGCTCGCGCCGAGTCTGCTTCCCTTGGACGATCCGATCGAAATTGCTGCCGGAGCTTCAGTACACAGTAAAAACTCGGTTCGATGGAGTTTGGGTCTTCTAGTTCGTCGGCGATCGGGGCTCAGAACTAGGAAGTGGCGCTGCAATGCAAAAGTGATGCAGAGAGCTTGTCGTCGACTCCGTTGGGAGTCGAGAGCTAGTGGTTCAGTTAACTGATTGAATTAATCAATTAACTATGTGTGAACCCCTTTCCTATAGCCGGACGAGGTTCTTAAATAGAGGAGAGATGGCGTGGCCGCTTCTTGAATCATGGGATGTGACCATACACTGTTGAGAGACATCTTGTCACTCCTCTGTACTACGAACCGTCACTCAATGGGTTGTGCTTCACGTCCTGTCGCCTAGGAGTGGGAAGGTCCACCCTCGTATGTGAGACAGCGGCTGTCCATTACTCGAGTGGATTGGGCCAGCTCACTGTGCGCTGGCGGTTCCAGCTCTTGACTTGGACCGATGACCTGAGTTGCATTTATGAACGTGCAGGTTGATCTGGCATCTGTCCGATCACTCGTACCGTGAGCAGTCATTCGACGGGCCTGGAGTACCGTGTCTTCTCTCTTCAGACCGAGAGAGGTGGGAAAGCGGGTTCCTGGTACTCGAGTAGGCTTGGACAGCTCGCCGGGTGCTGGCGGATCCGGCTCTTGACTCAGACAGCCGAGGTGAGCAAGTGGGCAATTGACAGTGAGCTGGCGAGTCTGCAGCTTGGGTCTGCAGGTGAGTTTGGGACTGCAGGCAGACTTGGGTCTGCAGGCGAGCTTGCAGGCGAACTGGGTCTGCAGGCGAGCTCAGGTGCGCAGGCAGACTTGGGTCTGCAGGAGAGCTAGCAGGTGAACTGGGTCTGTAGGCGAGCTCAGGTGCGCAGGCAGACTTGGGTCTTGATCGTGCAGGCGAAATTCGAGCTGCAGGCGAGCTCCTGAGCATGGATCGAAGAATAGGCCGTAACTTTCAAACCGTAAGTCAGAATTGGACGAATTATATATAAAAATCGCCTATCTATCCGAACCCAGCCGAAGGCTTCGGTTCGCTTCCTCCGTTTCGTCAAATTCTTTACGGTTTGGGAGATATCTGCGTTTTCCCCTTTTTCTGCTATTTCGGGCGAGGTTTTAGCAGTTTTGTTCTGAACTTCTCTGATAAGGATTAAAGGCAATTTTTATTGCATACAATGATAAAAGCTAACACTGTAAAGAATAGGCTTTCTCGGATCGGTAGAGAGTTCCCCCTCCCGAAGTTCAGATGTTATGGATGGGTCCACTCGCTCCCAGACAAATGGTGGTCTAGGATGATCAACTACGTACTCAATCGTTGGGGTCAAGAATTAGCGAACTCGGGATTATACATTCCAATACGAGCTAGCATGCATGGTCTCCCTATAAGTGTAGATCACTTTCTCGTTTTGTTCGAGTCTTATAATCCGGATACCAATACATTCTTCACTAAGTACGGGGAATTAGGGCTTCCGCTCCACGAAATGATGAAAGTATCAGGATTGCCACTGGGCAATACTCCTTACCAAGAATACTTTCTCGACAATCGTCAGCTTATGAGGATGAAGAAGGCTGGTTCCGTTGCTTACGACATTCTCTGGGAATTAACTTGTCATTACCAAACAGCAATAGCCAGGATCGAGGTAAAGAGTAAGAAGGCAGCTCAAGTCAGTCTGAAGCAGTTCGCCGATTACTTGTTCCAGAATCTCGAAAGCTCGACTGGTGAAGCCGTTTGCGAGTCACCTATCTTGACTCATTCTGATGTTAACAAGTTAATTACGAAGATCGACGCTCAGTCTTATACGACCGGATCATCCGAATACGGTTTTCCGAGGGGGACAAAATTCAGAACTTTCTTGTGGGAAGCCACAAAGAGGATGAAACCTGAGACTCTCCTCTCCGGTTATCTGGCTATATGGTTAAAGAAGTGTGTAGTGCCGCATCAATCTTCGGATGCTCTTCCTCTCGAGGTTCTCTTTCCAGCTGTCCAATTAGCCATCAGAGGTAGGTTATCTTTACTCTCTGCCATGATTGCTGACATCCATAGCGGTCTGCACAATTTAGCCAACACTTTTACAAAAATGGACGCTGAGCCTTCGAGTAAGATTCCTTTGTCAATGGTTGAACTACCATACACGTATCTGATGGCGTGGTTGGTCCTCCACCGAACTGACATGATGTCAGCCCCCGACTTATCCGATCCAGAAATTCCATTGCTACAGCTTTTAGAAGGATGTAAGTGGTTAAATCCTTCTCGACAATGGCCTGACAGTGTGAGGCAGTTCAGGAATGCTAAGTGCTGAGAATTTTATAAATGTTTCCCCCGATTTTCTGGTGCGTATAATGACATGCTCATTGATGAGGAAATGCCTGGGACCAGCAGGACTTCTCTCAACACGGGCAGTTTCCATTGGCTTATGAATATTCGACCAGGCTACAATGTTTTTCGGTCAAGAAACATATGCAGAATCGAGCCTTACTTTCCTTGCTGATTTGCGCGACAATTCGGCTACGACCAACTATATATCGGGAATCCCAATAACTGGCTAATGACCTGCGGAGGCCTTATTGATGGAGTGCGAGCCTGGTTTTGGAATGTTGTTGGCTGCACAGAAGCTCAATTTAGCTTGCCCGTTGCTGAGCCCGATCTTCACATGACTTTTCTTTACTGCCGGTGGATTTTAGCCGCCAACACGCCTGTTACAAAGAAAAAGATTTCTGAACTAGAAGCGGAAGCCGCAATTCGAGGAATTATACCTTCCAGGAGAGGAAAGAGTCCTGCTACATCTTCCCGCAAAGGAAAGCAACTAGCTGATTCTGAAGAAAGTGATGAATTTAAAATATATAGTGAGGAGGATAAGACTGGAGATGAAGCAGAAGCTAACATTCCTCTTTCTCTTGTAGCCCACAGGACTCGTTGGGCATCTTCACCCCAATCACCAGGTGCTCCTTCAAAAGGTATACAAATGAAGGAAAAGAATATTCCTTTGTCGTCTTCCAACAAGATGACCGTCAGATGGCCCGCGCGGGAAGAAGAGGAAGAAGATGTCGTCCCACTCATCGGCAGAAAGAGATCCTGATCTCCTGCTTCTTCTGAGGCTCAACCTCGCCCTGCTCAAGGAACTGAACTACGCACAAAATTTCATCACGAAAGCTCCGAAGCTCCAAGAGATACTCGCTCATCAAAGAGGATTAAGAAGACTGCCCACCGACAACGCAAACTTCCCTCTTTATTCGAAGAGGAGTTCACCCAAGATCCCCTGGTTGATGCAGGAGGTGGAATTTCATTCTCATTTCTTTCTATTATTTTATTACTTTTATAAAATCTTATTCATTCTTTTTCTGTAGTAGATGAGCAAGAAGAAGGAGAATTTCTGGCCGAACCCTCTTCCCCTGGCTTAATGAATGTTGATGAACCAAGCTTCATTCAACAAGTACACAAAGCGATGGGTGAAGAGCCACTCTGTATGGACACCACCGCTCCTCCAGTTACTACATCGACCTCGTCAATCGCTGACATAGGTACAGATGTTTTCTCATTTGGGGGGCATTTCCGGGAAATAAGTGAATCAGAACATGTTCCTTTCCTACTAACTTGTGTGCTTTATCTTCTTTTAGTTAAACTAAAGGAGGTAGGTGCGAGTAGTAGTGCTGCTGATCCCACCACTATCGTTGAAGGTAATTTTAGTTCTATTCGCTTTAGTTCTCTCATACCTTTTACGTATGTACCGATGGGTCTTTCTGCCCCCCCTAGATATTCCCGTTAATGAACCAAGAGGTCAGGAAACTACTCATGATGTGGAGGTCGGAGACTTCAATGAACATGATTTTAACCTCGATATTTCTGAAGATGACCATCAGCGCATTTCTGATCTGCTGTCAGCTCAAGATCCGGTTGCCACCGCAGGACCAACTACTAGAGTTGGTTCCACTGAAGTAGGCACATCAGATGGTATGTACTTTCGAACTTAGGTCTTCAATTAAGCTCTTATTTCTTATTTTAGTGACTAAATAAGAACTTTAGACGTAGGACCAATAAATGAAGTTGATGCGTCTACTATCATTGGTGCTTGCGATCAACCTGAAGGCATGGGTTTCCTGCTTTTGACAGGTCCCTCAGCTGGAGTTGAACCGTCAGCTATTGTTCCTCCGACTTCGGACGTTCTCGAAACTGAGCCTGTTGCGACTTCTGATCCGACCCCAGTTGTTCATGAAGTTGGAGGGTCGAAGGCTACCGTGGAAGAGCAACTTACTGCAACTTCTGTTCAACTTGGTACGTCTTGTCTTTAACGTGCTTCGTAGTTGGATTCATATTCGTAGAGCGTTTATCCATCTTTTTCTCGTTTATAGAACTTTTTTCTGAAGGATTCGTCGATCTAGATCCGAAGCCGTTGGAGGCTTCAAGTGAACAACCGTCTGATGTAGTGAGTCAACCGACGAGCGTTATTCCTGAACAAATCTCGGTTATTATAGAGCCCGCTACAGCCTCGACAAGCCAAGGTAATTCAGTTGTGAAGTCTTCCAGTGAATGTAATATGTTTCCTTTCGTTGCTATGTACGAGCATATATGTCTTGTACTTATTTTATTTGTTCTCTTTGCAGCTCTTTCTTCATCATTGTCCGATCATATCCGAGCTTTATTAGCTGATGAAGATCCGGACAAAGCTGTCATTTGCGCTAACGTACAAAGTTTCGTCACTTTCTTAAACACCATGGTTGATCAAATTCTCCTTAAAGGTTCACCCTTCGAACATTTTAGGAAATCTCTCGATCGCCATGTATCAGGAATTAGAGAATACGGATGCGCTGAATTATCCGACTCAATCGAAGCTTATTTAGCTGCCTTTAAACAAAACATTGAACATTTGCAGAATCTGCGTGTTAATGGCTCGCCTTCTTATATTGCTCCTCGAATGGACTTGAGATTGCAGGCATGGCGTGATTCTCAGAAATCCGCTGAATCTGAACTTTAGAGGTTGAAAACCCACATTAATCAACTCAGGGTGAGCGTTGCCAAGAAGACACAGATCAAGGTCGACCTGTATCGTGACTTAGAATCGAGTCGAGCAGAGATAGCCTGGCTAGAAGAGCAACTTGCCAAAGTTAGGGATGCTCATGAAGTTTTGGAGTCCGATCTGGCGGAGGTAACTCAAGCTGAGGTGAGTCTATTTCGGCAGCTGAATCTTCAAGACAAGATTTTTGCTGACAAGGAACAAGAGGTCGCCAGAATTCAATCTATTTCGGCAGCTGAATCTTCAAGACAAGATTTTTGCTGACAAGGAACAAGAGGTCGCCAGAATTCAAAGCGTTGATGAAGAAAACTTTAAAGGTAACTTGATACCTGAGCTTGAACTGGCTTATGTGACAGAGCTCTCCCAATTAGAGGATCAAATCCATCATTACAAATTCTTTTAGACTTTTAAACCACAATATTGAATATGTAGGCTATATGTGTTAGATGTAGGCTTATCTCTAGCAAGGGATAGAGATAACATCCCCTATGCGTGAATGACATGGATTTTAAAATGTAAATAGATTACATTTTCCATGCAGGAAAATGAACCCAAGATTATAAAGAAAGAATTGGGTATTCTATCTTTCAATCTTTTGTTTGTTGGTAGAGATGAACCCAAAATTGGAGAGGAAGAATTTTATATTCTATCTTCTGGTCTCTTGTTTGTTGGTAGAGATAAAACCCAAAATCGGAGAGGAATAATTTTATATTCTATCTCCTGGTCTCTTGTTTGTTTGTAGAGATAAACCCAAAATTAGAGAGGAAGAATTTTATATTCTATCTCCTGATGCAAAAGAAACTCAAAGTGGGATCTCCACTTAGAGAATCTGGATTGGTTTGAATAATCCTAACTGTCATAAGGTTTGACTATTCAACTCAAAAGTGGACCTTTCGTTCGCAAAATGAATCGAAAGGAGGTTTTGGCTGTGGTCCTAACTGTAGTAAGGTTTGACCAAGTAAGAGTTTTGAGGCGATCCTAACTGTAGGAAGGTTTGATCGCTCGATTTGTGGACCTCTCGTTCGTTGAAGGAATCGAGAAGGGATTTTGGTTGTGGTCCTAACTGTAGGAAGGTTTGACCAGGTAAAGAATGGGAGTGGGGTACAAATAGCAATGATTTTGTTGATTTGTACAAACTACTTAGTGGGAATTTTTGATATCAAACATAAGAATTTGACACAAAATGGTTCGGTGGCTGATATGGACCAATAGCCTGAATTTTGACATTGTATCATAATTTCAGCATTGGGAATGTCAGAAAACAGATATAATGGGAGTTTGAAAGATTTTGATCCATGACGGATTCCGGTGGACCCTCCTTCGATCGATATGATCGGTGAGGGGTTTTGTAAGGAAAGATTAACTGTTTACAGATTTGAATCTCATCTCACCAAAAGCCGTAAAAGAATTTTATGATAATCAAGAATGGATTATTCAAATTATCAGTTTCTCATTTAGAACAATCAACTGATCTCGGGTTATCCCGAAATATCCTATACAGGATTCCCTAGGAACTTCCCGTTTTACATAGGTTATCCTGAACATATTACGGATAATATTTTTTTAGGAACTTCACGTTTATTGGCATCATTAATTTGTTATCATCCTGGTTAATTAGACGATACGCATCGTTTGAATAGACTGTTTCTATTACGAACGGTCCTTCCCATTTGGGTTGGAATTTTCCTTTCTTCTTAGAATTGAGAATCATGGGTCTTCGCACGGCAAGAACCAGATCTCCTTCCTTAAAGCTTCGTCGTCGGACCTTTTTATCGAAAGCCTGAGAAATTCTAGCCTGATAAAACTTGATCTGTTGCTGAGCTTCCAAGCATTTTTCATCTAATGTCTCTAATTCCTCAAGACGTTTCTGATGATTTTCTTCCGTCGTCATTCCCGTTGCGAGAGCGATGCGGAGAGAGGGAATTTGTATTTCTAAAGGCAGGACAGCTTCACATCCATATGTTAAGGAGTATGGAGTTGTTCCCGTTGGCGTGCGGACAGTCGTACGATAAGCCCAGAGGGCTTCACCGAGTTTGTCGTCCCAATCTCGCTTATTGGTTTTCACAAGTTTTGCCAAAATCTTGATAATGGTCTTGTTAAAAGCTTCGTCCAATCCGTTAGCTGTGGGATTATAAGCAGTTGATGAAACGTCTTTAATCCCGAATCTGCCGCAGAATTTGATAAATGCGTTGCTAACGAATTGAGAACCATTATCGTGCACTATTCACCTCGGGACACCATACCGATATATGATGTAGTATTTAATAAATTTGATAACATCACTCGTCTTTACCTCTTTAAGTGGAACTGCTTCTGTCCATTTTAAAAAGTAATCGGTGATTGCCAGAATGAAACGGTCCTCTTTAACCGAAGGTGGGAAAATAGGACCTACAATATCCATTCCCCAAGTTTCAAATAGCCACGATGTTGCCGATGGGTGTAAATGTTCAGGAGGCTGGTGCATATAATTTGCATGTAATTGACACACTTGACATCATCGGGCGTAGTCAACTGCATCCTTTATCATAGTTGGCCAGTAATATTCAATTCTCCTAAGTCGGTCATAGAGTTTAGGACAGGGCTGATGTGCACCGCATGTCCCATCATGCGGCTCTTTGAGTGCTTGTTCCGCTTCCTTATTGGATAGACAACGGAGTAATAGACCATCATACGACCGTCGATACAGCATTTGTGCTGCAGCGTTGTAGTAAAATCTCGGCGCTCTTCGCCGAATCGAATCCCTTTCTCTTACATCTTTAGGTAATATACCATGTAGGACGTAATCAATAATAGGAAAACGCCAATCTCGAACTTCGGGTTCAACTCTTGTTGAGTGTGCTTCTTTAGCGATCGAATCGTAGATTGGAACAATAAGCTGTTGAGTTCTCACTGTAATTAATTATTCTGTTTCGGGAGGCTGAGCTAAAGATACCGACAATGCCGCCAATGCGTCTGCATATGTATTTTGGAGACGCGAAACGTACTCGATGAAAAATTCTTCAAACGAGCTTGCCATCTCTATGGCCACGTAGTGGTATGGAATCAGGTCTCGATTTCTGACTTCATACTCTCCTCGTATCTGATTAACTACCAATTGAGAATCCCCAAAAGCTTTAAGGTATTCGACCCCCGGCTCTTTGGCAAAATTAAGTCCAATTATTAATGCGTTGTACTCGGCCACGTTATTAGAGCATGGTTCGGTCAATGAGTATGCTCTAGGTAAGATATGCTTTTTCGGGGAAACTAAAACGACCCCCACTCCTGAGGAGATTTTAGAACATCCAGGTGCGCTTGCCACGTTGGTTGCTCGGGAAGCCCCATCGAAGTATAATTGCCACACTTGCTGATGTGAGGTGATATTAACTTCGTGAGTTTCATCCGGCAGATCGTCGTACAACTCGGCTATATCTTTTGTAGGATTTTCCGCCAAAAGATCACAGATAGCTTGCCCCTTAACTGATTTTTGTTGCTTGAAGTGTAAATCATATTGCGATAAGAGTAAAGCCCACCTGGCTAAACGCCAATTCATAGAGGTCGATTGGGTCATGAATACTCGGATTGGGTTTACGTTGGAAATGACATAAATTGTCTGTCCAACTAAATAATGTCGTATTTTCTGGATTACAAATACCAGGGCGAGGGATTCTTTCTCGATCATCGGATAACAAGATTCAGCTCGTACCAATGTACGACTTAGATAATACACCGCTTATTCGTGACCGTTATCGTCGTCTTGTGCGAGTAATGCACTTAACGAATGGCTCGTCGCTTTAACATAAATAAAAAACGGTCTGCCTGATTTCGGTGCAACGAGAATAGGTGGATTCGCTAGATATGCTTTAATATCTTCGAATGCCTTTTGACATGCTTCATCCCAAATGAACGACATGCCTTTCTTTGTGAGTTTAGAGAACGGTTGACATTTTTCGGATAGATTTGATATAAACCGACGGATATATGCCAATCGACCTTGTAACCCTCTGAGTTCTTTTAGATTTCTCGGGGGTTGTAATTCATGTATCACATTCACCTTATCAGGATCGATATGAATACCTTTTGTGGTGACGACGAACCCAAGAAATTTACCACTGGACATCCCTAGGAATGATTTCATCTTTAACTGATGAGTCCTCATAAGATTGAACATTGTCCTCAAATCGTTAATGTGGTCGCTTTTATCACGGCTCTTAATGACCAGGTCATCAACGTAGCATTCAACGGTCTTCCGAAGGTGTTCTTAAAAGATTTTCGTCATTGCTCGTTGGTACGTAGCACCGGCGTTCTTCAAACCGAAAGGCATAACAGTATAACAAAAGACACCAAGGGGTGTTCTAAATGATGTATGCTTTTCATCGTCCGGGTGCATCTTAATTTGATTATATCCAGAAAATCCATCCATAAATGACATTCTCTCGAACCCACATGTGTTGTCAATAATGACATCTATGATTGGTAGAGGAAAATCATCTTTAGGACAAGCTGTATTCATATCTCTAAAGTCAATACATATTCTGATCTTTACGTTCTTTTTAAGGACTGGAACGATATTGGCCAACCATTCAGGATGTTGTTCTTCTCTGACAAAACCTGAATCAATCAGTTTTTTGACTTCAGTTTCTATTACCTCCATAATTTGTGGACGAAACCGTCTTTATTGTTACTTAACAGGTTTAACATCCGGTTTAATGTTAAGGTTGTGCATTGCTACATTTGGGTCGAGTCCCGGCATATCTTCATAATTCCAAGCGAAAACGTCGATATACTCTCTAATGAGGGTGATTAATTCCTCTTTCTCATCCGGTGGAAGATCACCGCTAATAAATATAGGTTTCGGATTAATTTCATCACCCATATTAACTTGAACTACTTTATCCTCTGTAGAAGGTTCTCTTTGCTCAAATCGATCGCCGTATTGGATATTCATGTAATGTATCCAGGGATCTTCCCAAGTGGGCAACTGA